ACCCTAGAAGTGTCCAAAAATCGTACAAGATTGGCCCAAGAAGTTTCCTTGTTGAATTGAAATTCTGAAACCAAATAAAATTCTGATCTCGAACTGGCCTAGGCATATGCCCAGTTGAAAATCGGGCAGTTGCTCAGCTATTCACTTTAGCATGTGTTTTCTATTTTCAAGGTCGGGCAATTGCCCAGTCCATATAACTGGGCAAGTGCCCAGTTATAATGATTTCTAAATTATTGCATTTTTGTCCTCTTCTTTATTTTTTCCTCGATTTTGATCTACCACTTTAAATTACTTCTATTTTTGTCCTTCAACTTCTTCTCATGTGCACATTAGTCCCAAACTTCCATCCAATGGTCAATTTGTCCTTCCTTCTTTTCCAAACACTGAAAATGGATCCAACACTGAAACAAAACAAAATTAACCTAAATTAAGTAAAAAATCAACACTTTGATGACATAAAAGATTAGTAATATCAACCAGATAAATGCACAAAACGCACCTATCAAACACTTTCAAACTAAAACCTTTGTTCATCGAACAAAATAAAATTGAGGCATAAAAATATATTACTATCTAAAACAAATCACAAATAACAGTCATCGTTGAACTGCTTACCATATGCGCCAGGTTCAAATTTAAGTAACACTTTAGAAAGATCTAAATAACATCAAACATAATTTTTTACTTATCCAATGCTTGACTTAGTGTGCGTGAGCGTGATTAGCCAACATTGAACTCATACCCATACTAGAACAAAACCAATCAAGTGTCATTGGTTTACTCATAATCCCAATCCTTTTGTCGTAAAGTTTTTCCCACACATCTCGTGCAAAATCACTCCTTATGCTTTTCTCTCTAATCTCGAGGTATTTCCAGCACATGTAGGTTCCTAAAAATCAATATAACGCATTTTCCCACACAAAGTGATCAGAATTAATTACTTGTAGACCTAGAAGAAAGATGGTAAGTATTTCTCAAAGATACAGTGTCAATCTCTAGAGTTCAAATCACAGAGTCCTTATTGGGTACATCTCGCTTTTGATAATCTAAACTCTTTTTTCTTTCTTTCGCCACGAGTTTCTATTGATTTTTTTTTTTTTTAACATCTATGTGTAAGATGGTAAGTATTTCTCAAAGACACAGTGTCAATCTCTAAAGTTCAAATCTCAAAGTCCTTATTGGGCACATCTCGCTTTTGATAATCTAAACTCCTTTTTCTTTCTTTCGCCACAAATTTCTATTGAATTTTTTTTACATCTTATGTGTAAGACTTCTCCCCACTAAGCTTTCTAAATGACCATATAGCGAGTTTTAGGTCGATGACTCCCTAGTCAGATGACCATAGGATACCAGGTTTTAGATATTCTAGCATGATTAATAACTCAAGTCATAAAGTTTACAAAGAGAGGTATAAAATATATCACACTTCTTTTTGAATATGAGATTCAATTTTGAAAGTGGTGAGTGCCCATTCTAGACTCCTTAACACAAACTCCTTCAACTGTCAGTGAGATCCAAGAATTCCAAACCATCAAACTTCTATCAATACAAGTACTAGTCTCACCCTAAACTACTTTTTTTAGTAGTTTGGTTTCTATATTAAGGATCTAGGAATTCAACTCAAGCTTAAGTAAACAATGTCATAAATTATGTAGAATTATATTCAAAAGACAATAAAATATCATGATTTAGTGCCTCGAATCACACCCCCAAACTTGATTTTTTGTTTATCCTCAAACAAAACTAAAACTTAACGAACACCCAAACATGCAATCCTAATTACCTAATTGGTGGCCAATCAATCAAATAAAGTAAAAAAAAAAAATAATTAGCTAGCTAACCTAGCATTTTATTTCAGGATTGAAATCATAATATTAAATCTAATCACATGTTTAAAATCACAATACAAAAATTAAAATCTATTTTTCTAATCTAAAATCGATGTGCGTGTGAAGAATTAAGCATCGCATTATGAATTTATGAGTTGTTTCAACACCGGACCCTCAATGGTCTAATATATTCTTTCATCACTCATAAGACTCACACGCCCTCAAACTTATTCTTTTCGTTATTTTCAACTGTGCAAACTAATGTTGAATTTTATATTATCCTGATCTCTCTAGTTTAGGTAAATATCATTAATTGCTAGTCAATATGTCAATAAATAAGGATTCCCCATAGTTTGATTGTTTCAATATTTAGGACTTAATTAGGCTAATAATCTCTTATTAAATGCTAAATTTTTCCAAATAAGTGTTTGAAACATAACCAATACACTTAGTGTATCTTCTGTTTCATATACACCGCCTTTTCTAATTTTCTATAAAAAAATTTCTTCAATTTTTTTATTTGAAGTACTCTCACTCTTAAACTTTCTAAATGACCAATGTAACAAGTTGTCAGCTGATAACTCCCAAACCAGATGACCATAGGGTATCAGGTTTTAAACCCCTTGTAGGCTTAATTACTTGAGTCATAAAGGCTACGAAGAGAAATTTTCAAATAAAATAATTTTTTTTTATGTCTTGATTAGTATATTGTCCCTTATTAAACACTAATTTAAGAAAACAATCTCTAACTTGAGACTTTCACCCAATTTCATCATATTGACCTAAACAATCCACACAAGATTTTTTTTTCACACATAAAATTTCCATTTATCTCAATATCTTCACACAATAGTGAAATCCCCCCAAACTACTCTAAATTTGGTCCAAAGATGTAAAATTAAGTGGTTTTGAGTTTAGCATCTATGATCTACTATTTCAACATATCCAATTATGAATTTAACTCATTCATACACAAGACTTAATTCATGTGCTCAATATATATCAAATTTCACATGAAAAAGTAAAAATTAATCTAAACATACAATTTATTCACTATTCATAGACACATTCCACATTGCTAGCTAGATCAACTAACTCACACAAGCACACAAAAAGAAAATATTTTTGAATTTTTTTTAGAAAACAATTAAAGCACACAAAAGTACATTAAAAAATAAATAAAAAAACTCACGTTTTCCTCCTCTAAACTTAAACTAGAAATTGTTCTCAATATTTTAAATCCTAAATCCGTATATAAAGGGGTGGGGAAGAAAGTGAAGAAAAAACTCTCTTGATATTACTTGTAATTCAACGGCTAGATTTCCTATTACTTCCATTCACTACTTAGTTAAAATTGGATTAAATGTTCCGCGATGTCATGTTCCTGAAAAATCAAATAACTGAAACAAGTGTTACTTAACTCTAACATCTAATAAACCAACATCTCGAAGACGTAAGGGGAAACTGAGTATGGATGATGAGTCCCAAATAAATTACATCATGGCTTTACTAATTGGATCAATATTTGGGTTGAATAGTGAATAAATAATATTGTGGTTGAATCAATGAATCAATAAAAGGATGTTTGGCTCTTCAAAGAATGATTTTTATAATTAAAATATTGTTCAACCACACGTTTGAACATTAATAGGGTAGGATTTATATATGGAAAATTGTTTGGAATGAAAAAGAATTCAAGATCAGCTTGGAGATCAAATATTACTGTTTCTTGGATAACCACGTCGTTCGAGTAACAATAGAATAGTCGTCAGTGTTTTCATCGTAACTTTCTCTCCTAATATTGAATTGAGGTAATTTAATGTGCGTTGGAAAGCTAATGCAAAGAGATACAATTTTTCGAGTTAGCCTTGTCCAAATTCGAATGTTTTTTATGTGAAAAATGTATTGTTACTTGTGGTTGAGAATGTGGAGCATGATTTGTGCAACACCATTACACTTTTTGACTTGCAAAATTTGACCTTTTAGGCACATTTCAGACTCCATCAAGACCTATACTACGAATCCCAACTCTTTGACTTTAATTAAGATTTTATAACTCCTATTTTGACCTTGATTATAACTTGATAAACTCTTAATACAATTTAATTGGGACATGATTTTGACTAAGAAAATTACCAATGGTTGACCGGTTAAATGGTTGAAGATTCTTATCAATCAAGAATTAAAATAGATAAAGAATAATAGAAATTCACCATAAAAGAAAATAAAAAACCAAATATTAAAATATTAAAATATTTGCACATGTCAAATGAAGAGAACCACGTGGGTTCAGCTGTAAATAGTCCAAATTTTAAAACCTTGAAATGAAAACACCCGTCTAGTGAAGTGAACTCTCCACTTTATAGATAGACAAGAAGATTTACTAAAATCATTTCTAACTTGCCCACTTTGCCGGATTTTGAATAAGATTGGGTTTGTTTGATCTATTGGATTTGCAGCACACGCAATGCACTTCCTATGCACTTTTATTTAACATCTTGAAGCCATTAAAAAAATAAAAAATAAAAAAATTCCATAGTTTTGATTTACCATACTGGGATTGTTGAAAAAAAAAAAACCACCAGATGCATTCCTGCCAAGCTCACTGGGGTTGTCTTATTCTCTTCCATGGCTAATATCCCACTGTCCAAAATTGCCTTCAAATACCCACCTATAGTGTTTTGTCAATATGGAGGCAGTATGAAAGAAAAGTTTCACGCTTGATTTCACACAAGATATAATCTTTTCTGAGGTGGTCGCAGCTTCTCCTCACAGTAACACTAATGTTGTCCCATATTAACTCTGCTTCTCCGCAGCCCCTAAAATTACATAATTATCACTTCAGCGAATCCAGAAGGTGGAGTTTGTGATAGCATTCACTACTAAAAATAGCTTTTCACCAACAGATTATCCATTCGTAAAAGTAATCCACTTTTAACTACTGTATTCAGCAACAGAATTTTTTTATCTCTTTATCAACGAATATTATGTGTCTCATGTAGTCGTTTAACATTTGGATGTTTCATCTATGAAAATTCTGTAGGTGACGTACTGATAATTACTACATCCGTTGTCAATCCTGCTTGTTTCCTTGTAGAATGTTGCATAGACCACATTCATATCCACCCAAGAAAATTTTCCTCAAACCTGACGGACTCCACAGAGCCAGTAATGGATGTGGTGGAATCCGGGGCAGAGTCAGCGACCAAGGTGGCAGCAATTAACAGAATCCCCCAAAGTAGAGAACACCAGACATTCCATCAAGGTGATGGAAGGCCTGAGGAAATAGGCGATTCTATGAGTTGATGAGCACTTAATATTTACTCACATAGATAGACAAAGCAAATTTGACCTAAGCAACTTCTTCCTGCAAGTATTCCTCTTGCTTTATTTTACAACAAAAGATGTTTATATATAACAAAAATTATAATTATGTTTCTAATTAATCTCTAATATGTAACATAGTGATTTTATTACTAATTTGTACACACATGATCTCATCTTCTGATAAAAATAAGAAGTATCTATGTGCAATGCCAGTGCACCTTTCTTTGATATGAATGTACTGCCCTTGCATAGGAATCTATTCGTTGCTTATCCGCTCTGTCCACCTCTTCCTCCTTCATGCGAAAATCCAGCAAAAAGGATTTGAAATACCAAGGGGCCATTCTCTTCGGCCATTTTGAGTCGTTTTCTGTTTTCAGTTTTCTAAAACAATGAAAACGCGTTCTCTTTTCTATTTTTGAAAACGCGTTTTTGAAAATGATAAAAAATTTGTACACAAAACACAAAATGATAAAAACATCGTTTTGGCCGTTTTCCATCAAAAACAGGGAAAAAATGCAAAACACGCGAAACGGCCATTTCAATACAGTAACACCTCCAATACCACAATTCCAATTTCTTCCCTCTTCTTCCAATCCATCCCGTCTCTTCCTTCCCTATAGGCCCCGATTCTCTCTTGCCAGATTCAGTCACTTCCTACACACTCTCAGACGACGGCAAATTTGTAGTCAACCTAAAGAAAGCGTGCTACATACAGTTTGATTATTTGGTTTATTATGAGAAAAAGATTACTGGGAAGCTGAGCATAGGGTCAATATCTAATTTGAAGGGCATTCAGGTTAAGATGTTCTTCTTATGGTTTGATGTTGACAAGATCAAGGTTGACTTGCTGCCTTTTGATAGTATTTACTTCACTGTTGGGTTTATTAATAAGGAACTTGATGTGGATCAGTTCTAGATTGTTCGTTCTTGCAAAGATAAGGCTTTATCGGCTCTGCCTTGCTGCGGCGGCGCTGATGGCAGTGGGCGGCAGTCTTTGAAGAAGATTTTTCAGGTATATTCCATAATATTAATGGGATTTTCTTGATGATTATCAAATTGTTTTGGGAAAGATGACTGCTCTTTATGCTTTCTTTATGATTAATTAGTTTTCTTGTTATCAATGTTAGTCTTTTCTTGTTAAGAGGCGGATTATCTAAATATATGACATATTCTTTTTCATCTGAAATTGAATTTCGTGCTCTGGTTTACAAATTAAGTAAAATGATTCACGTTACAGTGTGAATATCCATATTTTCTGTTTGATTGTCACTCTGTTCAACTTGACAATTAAGTCGCCTTAATATTCGTACTATATATAAAGAATTTTTAGTGGCCAGTTTGTGACACATACAGAGATATGATGGGGGTGAGATCACTTTTGTTGAATCAATATAATTCAGGGAATCGTGGCGTGCTTCGCTCATTTTCATTTGATGATTTAATCCAAAACAGAGTATTTTGGGAAGGTAGTTGAGAAAAATTATGGATTTTTCTTAATTATAGTGAGAAGTCTTCTTTTTCTCCTGTATAAGGAGATCTCTTTCCAAGCCATGAGCGATCTGATGTACTAGTGGTTGTTCAATTACTGTGAGGAATGCGTTCAAAATTAGGGGTCTGGCCTTAGTTAATCAGGAGAGTTTCTTTACTGTTTCCTTTTCCTTTTCCTTTGCCTTCTAATGGTATTGTATTCCTATGTGGACACTATTGTGGGATTTTCTTTCGTTGTTACAGAAATTTTTTAAATAATCTTACTGTGTATAAAAGTATTTATGAAGCACCACGTGTTTATGTGCTATAAATTTGATGGACTTGATCAGTGTACAAGTCAGAGTTTAGTTCAAGAACATGGAAATTGAGCAAATATTGTGTTGCTAGTCTTATGGTTGGCAGATTTGTGTCCAAAGTTTAAATTGGGAGTCTGTTTATCCTAAACAAATGAGAACTTATTTGCGAGTTGATTTCATTTGTTTATAACATTATGAAATGGTTAACTAAGAAACATGATAGTGCATTTGTGCCTCATGTTGCTACATTTATAGTCTTATCAAGTAAATTTTGAACTGACATCTCTTCTTCTATGCATTTTCATGATGAAGTTTGAGGGTTATGTGCATTTTATAGCTATGGAATAGGTTATTAGTTGTCTCTTTGGTAATGCATTAGAGGAGTTTTGTTATGAAATATGTTGATTTAGATGTCGAGAAGTTAACATCCTAGGTTCTTTAATTGTGTCAGTTTACGAATAATTTTTTTCCTTGAATTGACAATGTTCTTGATACTTTTCGGGGAGATAATCCAACATTTGGGTTCTTGATGTCTGACAATCATTTTCATGCCTACTTTAGATATCTTGTCAACCATCCAGAACTTATGCATTTTGAAATTGATGAAAACTCTCAAAATGATAGGGAAAAAGTTTGCAGTGAGCACAATGATCTTGACCACCTTGGAGGTTGAGTGTTGTACTCGTTATGCTCGCATGAGAACGAAAATATTCATCTAAGGATTCAATAGTTGGAATAATAGCTGTGGGTCATGGCTGCTGATGTTCAATGGGTCAAAGTAGATATCTAACGTTGATTTACTTGTACAAATGATAAAATGCTGCATATTTATTCTTCTTTTAATTAGAACATGTTGTAATTTTTTTGTTTATTTATGTAAAAATGTTTTATAAATTTTGTTAATTCATTGAATTCATTGTAATGATCATTACTTATTTGTAAAATACTCTGTTTTGCTTGTTATGTTACCATGTTTTTATTTTAAGTTGCACATAAGAGTGAAAAATGGTTTCCTTGTCTGAAATTAAATAATTCGAAAAATTTCAATATTTTTGTATGAAGAATGTGATGAAAATAATATCTGCATTTTTTTTTTGTTCTGGACACANTTCTACTCCTCAAATTTACTCGTGAAAAGACATCTCAATATAAATGCTATAATCAAGGACTTGCCAAATTTAATTGACAAGGCATCTCAATATTATTTACTACTATATTAAAATTTAACTATTAAAATTTATTGAATAATCAGATTTATTGAATAAAATATTATAAAAAAAATATTCTCAAAATTTCAAAATAAACGCATTTTCAAGTTTTCTATTTTGAGAAATAGTTTTTCAGAATAAAAAAGAGAACACGTTTTCAGCAATTCCAAAACAGACACTTAAAACAGAAAACACAAAATGAATTCAAAACGCAAAACACAAAACTGAAATACGAAGAGAACGGCCCCTAAGCTTGCTGCAATTTTATTACAAATTTCTAGAACCTTATATTACAAGCTGTTTTCTCAAGTATTGTTTCATGATCTTCATACAGTGATCCTCTTACCCTACATACTTAGGATGATGCTGCAAATTTAAAGTGAGACATATTTTCACTAAGATGATGTGACAACTTAACGAAGATATAGACATTTTTCTTCATTGGGACAAATTTTACAACTATAATAAAAGATTGAGGACTGCTTGGCACCTTTTAAAAGTTTAAGGAATAACATGCTAACGAGAAATAGACTGAGGATCAACATTGGCATTTTCTCTTTTCATTCCTTTGGCCCTCTTATAAAATTCACTCAAAAAAAATGAGAATAGAAATACAATTGATGTAAATATTGTTGACATAGAAAAATATAGAACAGGAACAAGATTGAGAAAGAAAGAGGGGGAGAGAGAGAGAGAGTATGATTTTTATTTCTATCAAAGTTGTTTATACTACAATACATAAGCTGTCTTTATATAAGGTTTCAAAAATCATATTTTAAGTAGGAAACACCTAATAAAATCTATTAAATCAAACAAATAACTACGTTCTCTAAAATAAGCATCAAAGTTGGAAGTTAAATTAAATGGAGACACTATTTTGTTTGCTGTCCAAATGAAACTGAATCTCTCTCTTTTTCTCTCCACATTGCAAAACTTTTGGAATTCCAGAACCATAAGTTTGTAAATATATTCTATTATTTTTTTAATTAAATAAGGGAATGTGATTCAGCAGTAAGTGGAACATTTTATCCTTAATAATCTTCTTTAGCTCAACTCATAGCCCTTGATACATTCTTCTTTTCCACTTTCTTTAAGCAATGCCATTGACCGAATCTTGGTTCACCAACCTGAGTTGAATTAGGCTTGGGATATAATGTTGGGATTTAGAAATCTCTCTCAAATCCAAACTCGAACCGGTTGGATTGGGATTATATTCAACATCCTTTTGTACTTGTCTAATTCCACACTTTTTGTTAGCAAATAAAGCCCCTTTTTGTGTACTCAACTTTTTATAAATGTCAACAATAAGTACGTACGGGTGCAACTGCAATTTCCTTACCTTCAGGCTTTAACTAAATGGAAAACAACCTATAGTGTTGCATCCAATGGAGAGAACAGAGCATGATGGCCAGTACGCAAGAAAAGCTTCATGCTTGATTTCCCAAAAGAACATCATGTCTTCCAAAGTGGCCGTAGCTTCTCCCCAAAAAAACACTAACGTGTTTGACCATTAAACCACTTCTCTGCAACCCCTAAAATTACATCATCATCACGTCGGAGAATATAGAATGTCGAGTTGGGAATATAATTGACAATCCCAGCTTGTTTCAATGTAGAAACGTGCATAACTCGTGCATATCCATCCAAAATAATTTGCCTTGAAAGGGACTGATTCCACTGAGTCAGTAACTGATGTGGTGGATTCCAGGACAGAGTCTGAAAACCGAGTTGGAGGAACAGATACTCGACTGTCCACCAAGGTGATGGAAGGTCTTAGAAAACATGCGACTGTAGGAAGTGAAAAGCTGCTCAATGGTGAACTCATCTCCTCCTCACTTCCATAACCTGATTTTCTTGTGCCATTCGTGAAACTATAGTCACTCAACTCAAATGAAGGAGAAACTGAAGAAGTCCTTATTTTTTATAATGTCAGCGAAAAAAGCAGTCTTTTCTCTCTAAAAGAAGCCTGATTTTGGATTCCCTGGTTCTGAAGGAGAGGTGGAGACTCCATTGATATTGCTATGACATCGTTCAAGATTAATTCTATGGTGATCTTTCACATGGCTGTCCTGAAATTCAAGATGGACATTCTTTCTGTGTGGTGAAGTGGATTCAAGAACTACGAAGAAACAAAAAGATATGGTCCCAAGGTTTCTCCTTGGCATTTTGGTGGTTGGATTTTAAACGAACAACAGCAATCAGTTCTGGATTACTGCTGCCTATATACGGGCAGTAAATTACCAATTTTCTGTTTCTTAGCTTGGTGAGTATGGTTATCATCGTACAACCCCTCTTTGGGTAAAATTGCTGTGAATTTAGAGGGATTTTTTTTTTCTTTTTTGGCAGGGGGAATTTCTTTAAGACACTCACTTTTTTTTTTTAAACCCTCAATTATGGCAGAGGAAAACCGTAGCTACATTACTGAAAATACAATCCAAATTACAAGTAAATCTCAAAAGACACCACTAGCCCAACCTCAACCTACATATCTCACTTCCTCAAATAAGTCACCCCCATCCTATCCAGACGAAGTAAACCTCAAGCAAGCTTTGGCAAAGTTGACCAGATATTAAAACGTTTCGAGAGACCCTTAGATCCCAACCCAGCTAAACAATCCGCCACTTGATTCCCTTCTATCCATTGATGTGTCACTTGGTAATCAAACTGCTGTAGTAAATTCAAAAGATCATCCCAAAAGTCCCACAACTACCACAAAGAACATTTCAAAGATAAAATCCATGAGACCACCGACATTGAGTCACACTCAATGTTAATATGACCCCAACTCATGGCATAACTGTAAACATTCAATGAGTACTCTCAATTCAGCTTCATTATTAGTCCCTTCACCAAAATAAATACTAAAAGCTGAAACTAGTTCACCTCTTTCATTCCTAATCACTCCCCCACCACCAGTTTGTCGAGGATTCGCAAGACTACTACCATCCACATTAAGTTTCACTCGATTATGGAGTGGTTTTTTCCATGAAACCGCCCAAATCTGCTTTGTTCTAACTGGTGCCCAAGGTACCTCAAGCATTCGAAGGTCATATTCATCTTCACTTGTTAACACCTTCGCATTTGACAAATTAAGAGAAACCTGTTGTAGCCAGAATTTAATGGATAAAAACACCTACTCAACAGATTCAAGCTTACACTCCATCATTGCTCTACATCTTCTTGTCCATAACCTCCAAGTAATTAGACTTGGAATCAAGCATCCCAGCTGTGAAGATCTTCTTGCTCTTGTCCACCATAAATTGATTCTTTCCACCCAATTTTCTCTTGCCCTCCACTGCACACCCACCAAGGCAGCAGCTTTCCTCCACACCTTGTCTGCATAGTCTCCAGAGCTTAAACGTGTGAAGCATTTTCCACTTGACCTGTAGAGCAACAATCACATTTGGATGCAAGATTAATGCCTACTGACTTAAGGCATTCATCAACACTTAAACTCCGATTAAAAGCTTTCCACATCACCACAGAAACACATTTAGGCAGAGCATTGTTTCACGCCCGGGCCGCCCGTTCAACTTGCTCAACTCGCACCCTCACCACCTCCCAAGCAGATTTTGCAGTAAATAAACCATGTTTATTTGGTTTCCAAATCAGTTCCCATTCTTCGATTTCCAACCTTGGATACAACTTCATTAGCTAGAGTGTCACCAACAAGGTCTCTCAGTCGAACCATATCCCATCCATTGTGTAAACAAATTTCATTAATTTTCAGTTTTGGTTCTACGGCCTGGGTTACTTGTGCACATAGAGGGCCACTTTCTATCCATTTGTCAAACCAGAAAGAACAAGAACCATCTCTTATCTTCCATTGACTGCGTTCAATAACCTCAGGAAGACAACCTCTCACTGACCTCCAGAAACGAGTCCCAATATAACTTAAATTACCTATATCCAAAATTCCATGTTTAAAGTATTTTGCTCTAAAAATTTTTGCCCATAATGAATCTGAAGATGGAAAACGCCAAGCAAACTTCATGTATAAAGCCCCTTTGAACATCTTCAAATTTCCATACCGACACAATATGTTCCATGAACATCATTTTTTCCTAGTCCTCCCATTATTTTCACCCCAAAAAAAGGATGAAAGATGAAATTTAACTTCTGAAAAACAGATTTCGGACTACTCAACACCGATGATAAATGAAGGGCCATACTTGAAAGGACATGACGTAGAAGCACTAACCTCCCCCCTTGTGATATTAAAAACATTTTTCTACCAGCAATTTTTTTCTGAAGTTTACCAACTAGAGACTCTAAATGTAGAGCACTTAGCCTTCCCTGCACAACTGGCACCCCCAAATACAACATAGGAAATTGGCCCTCTTTAAAACCTGTTACCCTCATTATATCACTTTTCTGCACCAAAGAGAAAATTTTGGAGACCAACGTGGCGGACTTTTCTTTATTAATAAGCTGCCCAGACCAATCTTCGTACATATCCAACACCTCCATTAATCCTTTCATCGACTTTTTACACCCATTAGCAAAAATGACAAGATCATCTGCGTACATAAGGTGAGAAACCAAAGGAGCACCCCGGGGATGAGTAAAACCCCTAATTCGTCCAGTCTCAAAGCTCTTCTTCAGCAACCTAATCAAAACCTCCTGCATAATAATGAAAAGATAAGGAAAGAGGGGATCACCCTGCCTTAGTCCTCACTTGGACTTGAAGAAACCTTGAGTGGTACTGTCCATCATAATTGATCTTAATTTTTTGATTTCGTTATTTTTTAAAATGAGACTAACATCTTTGCACAAAAATGCATAAAATGGGAAAAGTTACATTTTGTTGGAAAATTAGAGGATTTACAAAGGTCCCTTTGGATTGAATCCTTATGCTTTTGTTTTTGTAACACTTGAGTTCTTAGTGAATCATATTGGCAAAACCTTATCGCTGCAAAAATTTCGAAGGAAACATCCATTAGCAATGCGGCAATTAAAAAAATAGCCGTATTTAATTGTTGAAAGTGAGATATTTCTTCATTAATCAAGAGTTCATAATCCAAAACTATCCTTGTGGACCGATCAATGCCTAGTTAAGGGCTCCCGTTCGAGAAGCATTACTACTACTACTACTTTTAGCAAAAATACTAACACAACCTTAGTGAGTTTTCAGACTCCACCAAGGAAGGTGATGGAAGTTAGGATTCTCCTACAATATATAAAATCAAATTCAAGAAAATAAGAGGAAGGGGTATAAACCTAACCTTCTAAAAGCAAAAAATTCAGCATATGAAAGAATGAAATAATTGGGGAAGTATTACTTCCTACACAAAGAAGGCAAGTTAGAAACAAACTAACGTCCTTTAATACTGTTAGGTTTTGAACAAAAAGGACTAAATTGGATGGGTTATAAAAGTCAAGGAGTAGGTTGTAATTTTCGTATTTGAGTTGTATAGGTTCTAAGCTTCAAAAAAAGACAAAAAGGGCACTACAATTTCACTAGACTGTCGTCGAGACTTTTCTCGAGCGGCAAAAATATAAACATTTCCTCTAGACTATTGTCGGGTCCTTGCTCAAGCGACAAGCCGTCGCTCGACTATCACTGAGCTCTCGTTCGAGCGACAGGGTTAGCCGGGAATTTCTTAATCGCAATTTCTTTCAAGGCTTTTTATCCCACCCATTCAACCCTAACCCTATCATATAAATACCAGAACGCCGCAGAACGTCAATTCTAAGGTCAAAACATAGAGATAACTTGAGAGCTTCAACTTTTCATCTCTTAATTCACAGAGAAATTTCAACCTTCACTGATTTGATTATACTTAGCGGAGAAAACATCAGTTCCAGTTAATCCAAATACCAAAATTATTGAGGAACATGGAGTTTTTCAAGAATCCATAGGAGATAGATGAATCCACAAAGTCTTGGGTTAGAGAATCCGAGAGGGCTTTGATATTGTAGTCAAGGAGTTGGTGTATGAGCGCGCAATCCAAGAGGGTTATCAGATTGCAGTAAGGAGTTGGTGCAGGGGCACACAATCTAGGAGGACTGTATTAACTTCAGTCATGAGGTTAGAAAGTTCATGCCATCGTCTTGCCTGGTAGACTGTATGTTCGATTGTTTATAGTGGATTTTGATTCGCAAAGAAACCAGAGTTTTTAACCGGTTGGGATTTCACCGTGAACATTCCGCATGTTTTTTACTATTTTATTTATTGTTTTCATATTCTGCAGTATTCAAACATAGGGTAATTGGACTGTCTGCTTAACCATCTAGAGATAATTAATTAGTGACTTTAGGGTAATTGGACTGTATGTTTAACTATTTAGAGATAATTAATTAATGACTTGTTGCTGGTTAATTATAATTTTTAATTCCGCATTTACACCTATGCACCCCTCTCTGGGTGCAGGTTGCGTCGAACTACGTAAATTTCAAATATTGCGAAGTCCTTATATGTCAACATGTCAATTTTATTACACAATTTGTACATACATGATCTCATATTTTGATAAAAATAAGAAATATATATGTGCAATGCCCGTGTAGCTTTCTTTGATATGAATTTGCTTCCTTGCATAGGAATCTATATGCTGCTTATCGTCTTTCTCCGCCTCTTGCTCCTTCACATTGACAGTCCAGCAAAAAGGAATTGAAATACTAAGTTTGCTGCAATTTTATTCCAAATTTCTAGTACGTGAGAGTATTACAATCTGTTTTCTCAAGTATTGTTTCATGATCATCGTTACAGTGATGCATATTTGATATTAAAATTTTAGAAGTTGTTTGCTAGATCTTCAGATATGGGAAAAATATGGGAGAGAGAATTGCTATTTTCCATGATCGATTCCTTTCAGGCAAGTAATAAGTCAAGCGAGGTATCAAGGACAAACACAGAACACCCCAAAATATTGATGGTAAAACTGAAAAAACGAAACATGAGAACTCAGTGCTGGAAAAACAACAATCAACCGCAATGGTTGCATTATCCGAGCCCTGCAGAAAGTTCCCAGTTACAGTAACTATGCGATGTAGATAAAAATGTCATCTCAGCACCATGCCACGACTTAAGCATATTATTATAGTCCATTTATGCTACTTATTTATGTCTCTCTATTGTTTTGTATGTTGTCATTGGAGAATTATGTAGATTTTTACTTTTGTGAATTTCTAGGTGTGTGAATGTGTAAATCTGACCCCAACAACATTGTAGGGGAGTGGTTTATTTTTATTAAGCTGACACATTATATTTTATTCCATTTGATTTTGATTTCTTAATTTATGTTGTCGTCCTCCCAAACAATGGCTACCAATATCACCCTTTTCATCTTTTTAACAAAGAACGATATTTAAATCCCTTGGACTAACCTACAATCAGAAAGAAATTAAAATCATTGACACAAAGATAAAAAAATCCCAATCACTACAATAATTTTTTTGTGGTTTGATTTGATGCATCATTTGTATATGCAAGCAAAACAAGTTTATCAAAAAGAAAAGGAGATAATAAAACAGCGAAGAATGTATCTGTGGAATCCGGAGTTCGAAAAAAGTGAACAAATAAAAAGGAACAAAAGTCTACAAACAGGGCGATATAATAGAAGATGAAAAGAGTCATTTGTGTTGGCAAATGCGAGGGACTGAATAGAGCCCATCTGTATATGATCTGTGCGCTTTTGTTATTGTAATATGAGTTTCTAGTAGTCAATATCCTTTCATTTAATCATCAAAAAGTCCTTTATTTTTTTTAAGAACAAGTTTACCCTTATATTTAAATAAAATAAATAGTAAATTGAGAAAAATTAACTGCAAAAAATTGCCCTGATTTGTTTGAGTCCCTGGAGAAATTTCCTAAGAATTTGTGAAGTTATCCTTCACCAAACTTTTAGCTCTGCACAATAAATGCACAAAATGGGAAAATTGGGTTTGGGTTACCAAAACCTGGGGGAAAGGAAGGTCATCATCCTCCGATTTAATGTTGAATATGCATTCTGAAGTGTTCTTGGGAGAAAAACTGGGAGGAGAAAGGTATGTGGAAAATACGGCTCAGTGAACCAATTTTGGTATAATTTTGAGTGGGACCCATTCGATCAATTTGGAAGATCAAAGTTGACTCGTGTTCTCCTACATGAGAACATCAAAATTATATATTTACTTGTCAAGAATGATGATTGGGTGAATGAGAAATTGAAACTCAAATTTGATGTATTGGAAGATAGTTTTGTGTGGAAGGGAAAACTATGCGTAGTTTGTCCCACATAGGAGAATGAAGAAAGTAATAAAACATTTATATATGGTTGGTTACACTTTAGAAGGGTGTAATTATGTATAGAATAGAGGTGTTGTCCACGTGCACTTGCAGAGGGTGTAAATCAAGGATTGAAATTGTACATCAAGCCTTGAACTGGTGCGCGAGCATGACCTGCATACACAAATGTTCGGACCAATTATAATAAAGCTTGATTTCATTCCATTTTGTTGGTCATTCATGCCACTCATTTATGGCCATTAGATTATATTAAAGCTTGATTCCTTTCTGCTCCTGCACACAGTTTTAATTTTTCTTCGAACACTTCTACTGTTTACAAAGTTTTAGTAGTCGTGTTCATACACTTAGTTCACCAGATTAGCATCTGAAGTGTTCAAACTCTACTATTTTCCTCTGTGTCCTGGGAAACAAACGCTCGAAAGAAACTTCAAGCACCTACGGTGACGGGACGAATCTATTTTAAGGAAACTGTATTTACAGAGGCCTCAGTTTGCGTATTTACTCTCTTTTTCCAGCAATCTATATATTTCTGCAGTTTTTCAATTCGCTAGTTTTTTTTATTCATTCTAGAGTAATAAAATATTTTATTCTGGAATTATATTTTGTGTAACAAGGTCATCATGCTCTCATTTAAAGCTTGTTTGATAACCATTATTTGAGGAAAACATTGTTTTGAATAGTAATTTTTTAGAGAATGTGTAGTTTAAATTATGAAAAAGATTTAGGTTTACGTGTAGAATATTTTATTGTGTGAATATATGATTAAAAATGAATATGTAGAAAAA